AAGGAGAATTTGTTAGTGTAACAGTAGAACAATTAGGCCTGGTTTTAGAAGTTCCATCTACAGGTGCTATGATTAAGAATGGATTTCAATTATAAGAAGCTCCATGGGATAAGTTCAATACTATGGAGTATTATGTTGAAATTTCTAGGATTACTCAAGAAGAGTTAATGAGTAGACAAAATCCAGATTCTTCTCGTGTCATCAAGTTGGCGAAGAATTTAACAGTTAGTGATCGGATGTTACATTATATGCTTGCTTATATGTTGGTTCCTAAGCATTCCAATCACTCTCAAGTGAGTGAAATGGGAATGAAACTGCTTTTTTCTATGAAATCTAACTTGCAGGTCAACTGGGCGTATGTCATCTTACAACATATGGGACATGGAAGGAATCTATCTGGAGGACTTCTTTACGAAAGGATAGTCTCAAAGATTTTAGAAGCAAGTTATGTTCTACTTCAAATGGAACCTCATACAAAAATGACATCCAAGGCAAACGAGATTAATGCTTCGAAGGCAATCAAAAATACCAGAATCATCTTGAATAACAACGGGAGATATGTATACAAAAATGATTCTTTTTCATCTGCTGCTGTTGTTCCGGCTCCTGAGGAGGGTTACACAAATGAGCTTATTTAAAAAAAAGCTTGTGGCTCTTGACTCCAAATTTGATCTTAGCATAAGGGAGTATCGAAAAGGAATGACTTTAATGCGAAAGATGTTTAAATTTATGACTGTGCAGCAACAACAAGTAATGGAACAAGATGATGATGAAGAAGAAGAAAATGATGATGATGGCGATGATGATGATGATGAAGACATGTCGAAAAGTGATTAATTATGTTTGTTCGTTTATGTTTAAAACTTCAGTTGTATGTTTTCATGTTTTATGTTTCATGTTGGAAAAATCACGTACGATAGTGTGTTCGTACAATGTTATGTTTGTTTTCGTTCAAGTATCGTGGTTGTTTCGTAAAAGTGTTGTTTGTGTTATTTCGTATCGTGAAGTTTTCACATCTATGTTTTTGTGTAATCTATCCAAATTGTTGTGTTTCTTTTCCCATCCTTTTTGTTGTTGACAAAGGGGGAGAAGAAATACATTATTCTTATGCTTTCTACCAAAATTGTGCAGAAATATCAAATACTCTCTTAAATGAACGATTAAGGGGGAGCATTATCCAATGGGGGATTTTGAGACATTGTTAAAAAATCCGGTGGAAAAGTAATTTTTCAAGCAGAGGTTGTCATCATCAAAAAGGGGGAGACTTTGAAGACAAGCTTCTCAACTGATTTAGATAACGATATAATCTACAACATGCAAGGATGGTTTTCAAGACTTCACGATTATATCAAGCTCAAGCAATTCTCTTTCAATTCAATGTATTAAAGTTTGATCAAGAAAGAAGATAAAGTTTGACACAATGGAGGTACAACAATTTAAGCATTTATATACCTTATTCAAGTGTTCAAACTTCATCTCCTTTTTGCATTGCATAAAAGAACCTTTTAACATAAAACTATGCACTTTGCCTTATTTTTTGGAAACACTGGTTTCTGGAAATAATCACTGAGTAACCGATTACCCAATCCTAGTAACTGATTACTTGCTGCAATTTTTGAAATTTTATATATGTTAAAGGCAGGTAACTGGTTACCCACTTATGGTAACCGATTACCACTGGCGTGTAGGCCAGAAAGTTGCATCTCTTGGTTTGAAAATTGTTTTCTTCTTCTTCTTGAACCATGGAATATTTTGATCATTATAGCCATTCTGAAAAGGTGTTAAGAGGCATATATAAACCTCTAAACTCAGATTTTAAAATCACCTTCTTGCATAAAATTTTCAAATATTTTCATCTCTCACTTTTCATATTTTTCAAGTGTCAAAATTCTGAAATTTTTCATAGAGTGAAACTTGCATTCTCAAATTTTCAAAAATTCATCTAAGTTTCATTCTCTTATTTTTGAACATTTGATAAGTTATATAGAGGTGGAAAATCAAGAGGAAGATTATTCGAAAGATTGATAAATTTGAAGACATTTTCAATACCATTCAAATAAGTTAGTCAAATATCTTTTGATTACATTCTTAAGTGTTCCAGGATTGTTGGAATTAAGATTGTAAGGATTGTTACCTTGCTGTCCAGGATTGTTAGAAGCAAGAGGTCCACATTGAGAGGATTGTTCTCGTTGGACTTAGTTGAATAATCCACATAGGCAGAATTAACCAGAACAAATGAAATCGAGTTTTTCCTGGTCCTATGATTGAGCATAGCATGAAAATATTTTGTATTTTGATCGCCATCTTAGATCCATTTAACTTTCGATTTTTGTTTAATGATGCTTTCTCTAATATGAGCTAATATGAGCTTACCCTCTCCTATTAATTCTGAATCTATGGCCAGGCAATCTTCAACGTCATTGATGATATCTATCTCACGCTTCATGTTAAGATCAAGTCTTCCAAATATATGTTTGTTCCACCATTTGAGTTTAACTTTAAGCATTCTGAATTTATTCGAAAGTATGAATACAACACTGCCTTCAACCGATAGTGAATTCCAAACTGATTTGACAAAAGCCATAAAATCCTCATGTTCAAACCAACAGTTGAAGACTTTAAAGGGTTTAGGTCCCTAATTCACATTTCTAGCCTTGAGCCATACAAGTCTATGATCCGAAACTTCTTTGTTACCAACTATTTGCAAAGCAGTGTTCCAATCCTTCAAAAGATCATTCGATATTAAAAACTTGTCCAGGCGACTATAATTTTTTTATTCAAGCAAAACCACGTAAACTTGTTTCCTGACGTAGGGAGATCAACCAAATTCATCAGATTAATGAATGATCTAAAATTGTCCATTTCTGCTCTCGAGTGTGCTTGTTTGCTACTGCTCTCTTCCGAATTTTTAATTGCGTTGAAATCGCCTCAAAGAAGCCAATCCCCCGGTTCCAAACTAGCCTTGTATTTCATAATTTCAGACCACATGTTTCTCTTTTCCAACAAGTTACAATATGAATAAAATATTTACAATGTAAATGTGTCTTCTTTTCCATAGTGCAAACAGACCCAAAAATCCCTCCGCTCTAAAGCTTGATATGGGAGAAAGGGACTCTTTTATCCAAATCATCAACAAGCCACCTGATTGTCAAGATGAATTGGTTGTTGACCATTCAAAATCAGTTTGACCCCACAAGCTACGAACCATAATATCTAACATATTCTTGCATTTTATTTCTTGGAGTAGGCAGATATCAGCATTTCCACTAGTAATAGTTTTTCTGATTCTATTACGTTTTGTGCTACCTCCACATCCTCTAATGTCATAAGTGATAAAATTCATTTACCTGGTCATGCAACCCTCTTCTGAATATGTAGTCTATCATTGTTCTCCCAGTTCCTAATTATACTTTCAAAGACCTTTTCATCTTCATCTTCTTCAATCCCTAACCTTTTAATTGATTCCCATATTTTGCACAGAGCTCCTTCAATTTTCCTCAGTATGTGATGATTTACATCAAAATCTCTATTTGAATCGCAACATAAAACAAAATCTCCAGAGTAATGAGATATTGAATCCTTAACAAATGAACTAATAGGACTAGGATCTGGTCTTGATGGAAGAGATGGACTAATTTCAGGTTTTGATATTGGTTTCTCAGCTAAAGCAAGTATTGAGAAGTATGAGGGTGAAAAAGGTATCTGTAACTTCTCATAAATGTTAAGAAGTGATTTCTTCTTCCTGGGCTTAGGTAGAAATTTTGGTCCATCTCCAATCAGATCCACAATCATGTTGGAGTTTATTTTTAGCCTATCATCCAGTCTGTATGATCTATTCACCCGATCCGAATTTTGACTTAAAAAATTGCAGGGCCCCACCTCCACAATTGCAGTATCATCCACCTTCACTTTCTTTGACCTGGTGGGTGTAATGTGTTGACACGTCAAATCCACATACTTTTCTTCTCTGCCACATTTTTTTTATTAACATTCAAGTCCTTAGGTATAGCGCCTATAGCAGACCTACGTGTCATATCTCCATCCTCCACGCGAGATCCTAAGTTGTTGTTTTCAGTGTCAAATTCCTTGGAATTCCCATCTTTCTCATCATCCTCAACCGTATTATCCGGAAAGAAATCGCCGTCATCCTTCAATTCTTTTTCTAATGATTCGTCGCATTCATCAGCGTCTCCGCCACTATAAGAACTGGAAATCATTTCTGATCCAAATTTTTTTCTCCATTTCAGAGGATGAATTCTTAGAGGTCCATGAGAGTCTTCAATTAATTTGATTATGTATATCCTTTTGTTAACTTCCACATTAAGCACTTCGTTCATATTAATGGCGAATTTGGTTCTAACTAAGAATCTGGAAACATCCATTCTTTTGAGACTCTATATTTTTTCATATGAGGGAATGAACACACCAATTCCACCTGCAAGGAATCTAAAAAATTTGAAGGACCAAAGGTGACAAGGAAGTACATAACACCACATCCAGGTGAGTCTCTCGTTATCCACGTTAGAAGGACACCACAGATGAATCTCGGAGAACCAATGGAATACCCAGTTCACCTCTTCCTTGATCAGATTCGCGATCTCGCCCTCAATCTTCTCTTCTAGTAGGCAAAGATTGGAACCTAAAGGAGTTGCTTTAATCTGGAAAAATTTTTCAGCAAGCAATGCATCTTGAATGTTATATGTTGATCTTGGTTCTTCCATAACGCTGATGAACGCTTTCTCAAATCTCATAAGATCTTCTTTATTAAAATTAAATTGTAAATGTGCAAAAGATGGTTTTGCATTGAGGTAGTTTTCTTTACTTTCATATGTCTTCCATGCCAGATTGTTTTGTTTACCCTCTCTACCTTTTCCCACAACTTGAGCGAAAGAAACATCAGGTCAAATGTTCTGTCCCGACATATTTCCCATGTTCATGTTATTTCTGTTTTCAAAGTCCACCATATTCTTTGAAGGTTGAAAGTTCTTATCATTTCTTGATCATGCATTTCTCCTTTGAAACCATGGTATATTAGCATATATTTTCCTACCATTGATCATGATTTTATCTAGTTTAATTGCCATCATCCTACTATCCTCAATGTTTCTGAAGCGAACAAAACCAAATATTTTCCCCCTCTTATCTCTCCTTGATGGTATTATCACCTCCAAAACTAGGTCATACTCTTTGAAGATATCAAACATCTCTCTAGCCTCGTGATCATCCGGAAATTCAGTGAAGAAAAAAGAGGCGATTTTACTTCCGACCTCCATGATGTCTTTGCCCCCTCTAGTGTCCAAATCGATCTTTTGGAGATGTTACCAATTCCTATTCTCCCCCCTCCTTATTTTCACCCTTTCATGAGTATGGGTCATATTTCTACTAGACTACCCCAAAATATCAGACAATGCAACAAAAGCTTAAGAGGAGCACCACCGATTATCAAGGCCCCTAGCCCTAAGGTTAGGAGTTTAAGCTAAAAATAACGACGGTGATCCACTAAACCATGTCTCCCATAATGTAAATGACAGAGAAAAAAATTAGATGAATGAAGTTGAAGTCTTCTGTTAAACTAGATGAATCTCGGGTCGGAGACTACCCTGAATCTTATTCGATTTATATCTCTTGAGTGTTTTTTTTTATCTTCAAGTCACTATATGCACGTCAATTTGCACAACTCATTCTTCAAACAAAAACCAAGTTCAATTTTGACATTTACAAATTGAAAATCCTCTTTTTGAAAATAGCACACATTTCAACTCCATTGTTGATTTTTTCTGGTCACATGAATAAATATCAGATTCAACATATAAGAAGTTAAAAACAATATGTAGCTTTTCCAACATCAAAAGACAATTTCGAATTGGAAATTTTAGTACTAGTTGCTTAGAAGTGAATCTAAACACTACCAAATGTGATACCGCATACAATAATTTTAAATTTTCAATCACTTAAAAAACACATTCCACGACTAGATTTCATATTCATGATTTTAAAAATACTTGTAATTAGTGTGAAATGTCAAATTTAAATTGTGAAATGTTATTGAAGAATCTATCATCACATGATCCAATATATTGATTTGGTGAAATGTTAGCTTTGGATTTTGCCGACGTCAATGATCCAAGCAACTCTAATCTTGCCGAAAATAACAATGATGCGTCCTATTATGTCATGCATTTTGTATCATATTTAATCAACGAAATTATGGCCGATTAAATAAATTTCGCTATATATCCGTAATATCCATAAAATATGTGAGATTTGGTGAAAATGAAAAAGGATTGAACTGCTTAGAATACTTGTAGTGAAATTGAAACTTGGTGGAGATTGGAAAAGTAGCGTCTCCAGTGGTTATGAAAGGATTGCACGAGAATATAGGTAATGGTTTATAATTGGTGTATATAAATTTTAAAACATAACATAGTTTTGAATATCATTGGTTTATTACATGAGAATATCAACACCCAATTCAATTCAAAAGATATCAGAAAATTTACCAAATAGGTAACTAAATAAAAGTATTTTTATTAATATATCATTATCATGCAGTATAGTTTATAGAATAATTAATGTATTTAAAATATAATGTTTATTCAATAAATTAAAAATTTACATTTTAGATTGGAGAAGAGAATAAATCTTTAAAGATATTTAGATATAAGAAGAATTAAATAAAACAAAAATAAAATAATAAATTTAATTTAATTGCATTATTAATAAAATATCAAAGAAATTTAAAATTACAAATAATTATGACCGGTCAAATCTTTTAACTAATGAAAAAACATTTTACAACGACATTTCACATTTGCATTTTCTAAAATCACAGTAATTACACAATTATATAAAAGTTACATAAATGAGAACTCAATAGGGACTGCTAAACACTACACATATAATACCATATACAACTACAACTATTATGTTTGAAGTGTAACCACCACAGTGAAATAGTAGAATAAGAGTATATGGAATAAAGCTACTGGCAAAAGGATGGTTTATCATAAGTAAACAATGTTAAATATAATTCATTGTGTAAATAGATTTGATTTGATATGATTAGATTTGATTTTAATTTTTTGGGCCTTTTATGTTTTGGGCTAGTGTGAACCTAAAACTATAAATAGGGTGTCTTGCTTTGTATTCTATATCACAACAGAACAGATTTCACAGTTACAGTTAGCAAGTGAAAGTTCAATAAGAAATCCCACAGTTGTGGGTAACACATTCTCTCCAAATATTTTCTTCTCTCATTCTTCTCTTTCTTGTGTGTTCTTCTTTACTTTTGTTGTTCTTGATAATTACTTGTTATTACCATTACTATCATATTGTGGGTTTGTTCATCAATTTTGAGATCAAGATTGAAGGAATTTCCAACATCTGGTATCTAGAGCTCCGGTTGAGAGAATCAAGGAAGGAAGATAGTGATGGCGATGAACAATCCGAACGGCAAGTTTCCGGCGACCCTGCCAATTCTCAAGAAAGACAATTATGAGAATTGGTGCAAGCAGATTAAGGTGATTTTCTGTTATTAAGATCTTTGGGATCCATTGAAGGACGGAGTAACATCGCTTGGGGAGAATGCAATGGAGGCAGAAAAGGCTGCGCACAAAGAATTGAAGAAGAAGGATTATAAAACACTCTTTATAATTCATCAGTGTGTTGATCCTGATAACTTTGAAAAGGTTAGTGATGTTGATTCAGCAAAAGAAGCATGGGAGATTCTTGAAAAGTCGTTTGGAGGTGCAGAGAAGGTGAAAGAGGTGAGGTTACAAACTCACAAGAGAACCTATGAGTTACTTCAGATGGAAGACAACGAAAGCATTACAGATTTCTTCACCAGAGTTACGAAGTTGGTGAATCAAATCAAAGTATGTGGAGAAGCGCTAACGATGAAAGCAGTTGTCTCAAAGATCTTGAGATCGTTGGCTCCAAAATTCGACCACGTGGTAGTTGCCATAGAAGAGTCGAAAAATCTATCAGTGTTGACGAAGGAAGAGCTTCAAGGGACTCTTGAGTCTCATGAACAGAGGATGGCTGAGAGAGCTGCAGGAAAGTCGAAAGATATGGCTTTGCAGGCACAGTCAGAAAAGGAAAGAAAAGGCAAAGGTAGCTGGAATGGCAACAAAGGAGGAAACCAGTCGAATCAGAAGAAACCTTGGAACCAAGGCAACCAAAGAGGTGGTGCTGCAGGTAAAGGAAGAGGTGGCGGTCGAAAGCCAGACAAAAGCCACATTCAGTGTTTCAATTGCCAGAAGTATGGTCATTATGCTAGTGATTGTCCAGAAAGAAAGAGAAATCAAGAGACTGATGCAAAGGTGGCGAAACATGAAGAAGAAGAAATGTTGCTAATGGTCACAAAAAAAGATGAAGAAAGATTCCAAGATCAGTGGTACTTGGACTCAGGATGCTCATCACACATGACTGGAAGGAAAGATTGGTTTGTCAACATGAAACCCTCGTCGAAGAACACCGTGAAGTTTGCAAATGACAACACTCTAGCAGCCGAAGGTGTTGGTGATATTCTGATTATGAGGAAAGATGGCAAAAGGTCAAAAATTTCCAATGTGTTGTACATACCAGTCATGAAGAGTAATTTGCTCAGCATATGGCAGCTTGTCGAAAAGAACTACAAGGTAGTTTTCGAAGACAAGATGATGAGAGTTCTCGACGCAGGTGGTAGATTAATCTTGAAGGCTCCAATGTCTCAGAATAGGACCTTCAAGATTGGACTCAATGTGATAGAGCACAGATGTCTAGCAATTGCAGCCAGCAGAGATGAGTGGTTATGGAATTTTCGACTAGGTCATCTCAACTTTAATGACATCAGAGAACTGAAGAGAAGAAATATGACTTCAGGATTACCAGAAATCGACATTCCAAGTGAAGTCTGTGAAGAGTGTGTTCATTCGAAACAACACAAGAATAGCTTCAGCAAGGATGCAGGAAGGAAGTCGAAGGCAATACTTAAAGTCATATACTCTGATGTATGTGGTCCAATCCAGGTAGATTCGATTGGTGGCAATAGATACTTTGTCACGTTTATAGATGATTACAGTCGAAAGTTGTGGACTCACCTCATCAAGAAGAAAAGTGATGTGATTGAGGTATTTTCTAGATTCAAGTCCATGGTCAAAAGACAGAGTGGTCGGAAGCTGAAAATTCTGAGGACTGATGGTGGTGGAGAGTATGTGTCAAAAGAGTTCGATACACTATGTGTAAAAGAAGGGATTGTGCATGAGGTGGTGCCACCTTACACTCCACAGCAAAATGGGATTGCAGAACGCAAGAACAGAACCATCATGAATATGGTGAGAAGTATGTTGAATGGAAAGCATCTACCTAAAGAATTATGGGGAGAAGCAGTTTCGACAACAACATATATATTGAACAGATGTCTGACGAAGAAGCTTGAAGGAATCACACCAGAAGAATGTTGGTCTGGTGTCAAGCCTAGTCTCAGTCACTTGAAGGTGTTTGGATCTATAGCACATAGACATGTGCCAGATCAGTTGAGAAGGAAGCTGGATGATAAGTCGAATCAGATGATCTTGATAGGATATCATTCGACAGGAGGTTACAAGCTGTTCGACCCAGTGAATAAGTAGGTAGTGATCAACAGGGATGTGATCATAGATGAGCTTAAAGAATGGGATTGGACTGAGAATGCCAAGAAGGATTCAGTGAGAATCTCTTGTGAAGAACCAGCCACTGAAGTCGAAATAGAAGTTCGACAGGAACCAGTTGCAGATGAAGCAGGTTCAAGCAGACCTCGACGAATAAGACACATGCCTGCAAGGTTGCATGAATATGTAATTACATCAGATGATGTAGTCGATGAAGAGGGTGAGTTGGTACATTATGCTTTCTACGCAGATGTCGAACCAGTCAATGTAGCTGAGGCATTGAAAGATTCGAAGTGGATGAAAGCAATGATTGAAGAGTTGGAGTCCATTGAAGTCAATGATACTTGGTCACTTGTCGAATTGCCGCAAGGCAAGAAGGCAATTGATGTGAAGTGGGTTTACAAGGTAAAGGTAAATCCTAAAGGAGAAGTAACTCGACACAAGGCGAGACTTGTGGCGAAAGGATTTCTTCAGAAGGAAGGAATCGACTTCGATGAAGTATTTGCACCTGTTGCTAGAATCGAAACAATCAGGTTGCTTGTTGGCCTAGCAAATATGAACAACTGGAACACATGTCAGATGGACGTGAAGTGTGCATTCCTTAATGGCCCCTTAGAAGAGGAAGTTTATGTTGCACAACCAGC